GTCCAAAACGAGCCTCCCCTGGTTCCACTTTCGGTGCCAAACGCTGCTTCTGGATCCTTATATAGAACAAAGATAGTGCTATTTTTCTCGCGCATCTCGGCCCCGAACCCCTGCTCACGCAAACAGCTTTTTCTCATCTTCTAGATCCCCGAACACCTGACCCCGCCACAGCTTTTCCCAATCTAATTCTGGTCCACAACGAGCCTCCCTGGTCGCACTTTCGGTGCCAAATGCTGCTTCTGGATCCTTATATGGAACAAAGATAGTACCTGGCCCTGCCACGAACACCTGGTCACGAGCCTCCCCTGGTCGCACTTTCGGTGCCCAACGCTGCTTCTGGATCCTTATATAGAACAAAGCTAGTACTATTTTTCTCGCGCATCTTGGCCCCGAACCCCTGGTTCGTGCTGAGACGAAGGAGCGCAATAGGTTGCGGTTCCAGTGATGCGTGTGTTCGAGCAGCATGGAGCAGTGGAAGCGTCTGTTGCCTGCAGGTTCGTGCTGAGACGAAGAAGCGCAAGGCTCCCGCACCTGTAATCCCTCGCGCGCTCCCCCTCCTTCAGCCGGGGTCGGCGGATATTACACTTTTCCCCTGAGGTTTCAAGTGTCAAAGTCACCCCAACCATCCTAAACCTCAGTACTCAGCATCACGGCGAACACCCATGATTTGTGTTGGCGCTTAACATGCGATGCATCCATGGATGTCAGGAGATGGCGGGGCACGCAAATTTGCCTGCGGATCTGCGGCTGGCAGGTCAGAATGGCAGAATCTGCATCTCGCAGGTCTGGTTTAGTAGGGTGTAGTGGAGGGGGCTTTGCTGTAGGCAAGCGGTCATGTTTTTCCAGCACAGATCCTCCTTCTGCTATGTGACCCGTAACACACCACCTGTATAGCAGACTGGCCAGGTTTTGAAATGGAGTTACCATTTGCGTGACTTGTGCAAGTTGAGGCATTGTTGGCTCCAAATCCGCCGACGTGAGCATCAATCCCCGTGCATTGATGTCAGAGCCCCAGCTCTAGACCATTAGATTGGGGCCGGAGCCTTTTTTGGCGAACATCCTTGGCTGGGCCAGCCTGTTGTTGCTGCTGTTGTTGTTGTCGTTGTCCTTGGCTGTTTGTCTTGCATGTTGCAACTCGTCGAAAGAGAAGCTGAACTTCAGAGTCTTGTTTGCACAGGCCAAAGCAGATAGACGTTCGCGGAGTGTTCTTGGGTTCTGCCTCTGCAGAAGAGCTCAAGGACAGCTTGCAACAGTACAACATTCCACAAAGTTGAAAACTCACGTGCAAGGCAAAGCTGTAAAGCCACCAAGTGTTGCAGGAGAGTAACGTTGCGTAGTGCTGACAAGTGAGATGACACGCAATAAACCCAGGTTGACAGCTCCGCTGTCAAGTTCACCAGAAAGGGTAGTCGGGTAGTCTATCTAGAGCAACTCTTTGAGCCAACGTTGTGAACTTGCAACTTTGGGATGGGGTCCCTGGGACTATGCCGCAGGAGGTTCATGCGGCGCTTTTTGATGCCATGAACCGACGTGCTTTAGCTCCTTGGCTGTTTGCATCAGTGAGAAGTGGATCAGATTTGAAGATTGCTGAGTTGGCTAGTGTTGGCTTGTTTCTTGTGGGCGGGGGTACAATGCCGCTCGCAGCTCGAGGTGCCTGTGGTGAGCTTGCAAATACCGCTGGCCGAAGCCGCCAAAGCGCATGTTGAGGCGTGGTCGCTGAATGCTTGGCCATGGTTTCCAAGTCAGAAAATCAGCAAAGTGCATGGCAAGACAGGACATGAGGGCATCACAAGATTACCGGAGGGCTATGAATGATTTGGGGAGGACATGGGGGGGCTGTGGGCAGGTGATGGAGCCCTCAGCTGGTGGTGCCAGTGGCAATGTTGTTCTTTTGCCTGGAGCAGACTGCAGCCTTTGAGCCAAGTTCTTTCCGACGTGTGATCTTCCAACACGTTTGCTTGCTCCGGTCACTGTGCGTCATTTCCCTTTGATTTAGCCCTGACTCTCACTGTGTGTGGATTGTGGCATACCTCTTTGCCTCGCCCTTCAACATGAAGGGCAGTCACAGGCTCAAACTTTAGATTTGTTTCCCTGGAGTCTTAGTAGACATTTATATATTCGTCCGCAGAACTCGTTCAGAAACTCCAAAGTGAAGCTTGCTGGTTCCGACTTGGTTCCTCCAAGAATTGCTGCTTTGATGATTTGCAAGCATGCGGGATGTGGGACTACAAAAAAAAGGATGATTATGTGGGCGTGATGTTCATGGATACAGTTTGAAGCAGCCATTTTTGTCCAAGCCCTCTTGGTGGATCCCAGTGAAGAAACGATGAATCTGGGTTGCAGTGACTTTAAGTTCCAGGGAGACAGTCCAGCACCATATTGTTGATTCATGCCATGCTTTCAAGCAAAGTATCATGGCCTCCCATCCCCTCCTTCTTTTGTATTGCTTGATATTGAACAATCCATGCAGTCCATCCAAGCTTCCTAGAGTGTTCAAGCTTGAATTTGATTTGGTTCAGGAAGCCCGTTGTCAAATCCCTGTGCTGGCTGCGCCTGAGCTTGAGGGTTGAGGGGGGCGGGGGCGTATTCCCAGGATCAGGGCCCCAAACTAAAACCCCAAACTGACAGATGAGGTTACATGTTGCAGAGTTCCAGGGTAGACCAATAGAAAGCCAGCATGCATGCGTTTAGAGTTTAGCCTCGTTGTTTATGTGCATAATATACAGACTTGGCCATTCTCTCTGTCGGCTGGTCTAGACCAGAGGCATTTGGTGACTGCCACGCCCAACCCACGTCAGGCAGGGACATTGGGTGTGAAGATTGATGGGTGCAGATAGCTCTAGCGATGCACGGGGGTGCCCTTTGAGAAAGGTTTGGCAAGACTGTCAGAATCGTTGAGATGGCAAACTAGTGATGTTCTGACCTTGGTGCACGAGAGCTCATTCTGACCTTGCTTGGACAGCATACTGACATTCCTGTCTGGTGATCACTGTGATCACCACCAATAACACTTCCGCCAGACTGGTGCTCCTTTTGGCAACGCGTCAACGTTGGAGGAGCCCAAGAAGCTGAAAGCCCTGGAGTCCTCTGAAGGTTGGCAATGACTTGGGTGTAAACCGTGTACAGGTACATCAGGTGGCTGATGTCACCGTGGCGTGGGTAGCCGATTGCATCTCTGAGTTCTCCTCTTTCCAATCGTGAGGAACCGATTCATGTTGTAGGAAAGGGGATTGGTGATGCGCCAGCATCATGATAGGACGCTTAACACTTCTGGCTGTAGTTAGGTAGTATTAGTATAATGGTCGGGTTTGTTCCCGTGCAGGCGGGTCCTTTGAGGGCAAAAGCGGCAGGAGGCGCCGTCGCCATGGCCACGGTGCTCCTGGTGGCCCTGCTGTCTATGGTGGCCCTGACGGCCCTGGCCCTGGCCCTGACGCTTGGTTTTGCTGGGCAGAGTTTTCGTCTGTTAATTTCATTTTCTTTTAAGCTGATGCTGAAAATGAAGACAGGTCCCAAGTGCATTGTCTCAGTGGTTTGTTTGAGGGGAACCGACCAAGAGTTGTTAACATATGAGGCCCATGGAGGAGAGGGGATAGCCGGTGGCAAAGGACATGCTGGAGGTCCAACCAAGGGCAAAGGGAATGGCAAAGGAAGTGCATTCTTGGAGAAACGTGCCTTGGCGGAAGATACATGTTCAATACGTTCAATGGCTGTGGATGTACACGACCAGGGTGAGAATCGCTATGTTCACATGTAGAGACAATTGTCCGTTGTACCAAAAGGCAGTTTGTGTGACCGCTGATCACAACAGGTTTGACTCGTGTAGCGGAGCCGGTAACCCAGCAAGTTGATGTCATGGGATACTGTGCGATCCCGGAACTCCCCTCACCAAACTCACGATGTTTGCGGCCTTCGGTACGGAGGCCAGAGCCAGGCCTCCTTCAGGCTTCCAGAAGCAGATGTAGCCTGATCTGTAATGGAGCCGGAGGTGAGAGCAGTTATATAAGCCTGTCTTCTAACGGCTCATCCTCCCACCCGCGAAGGCTCCACAACTAGGCGCAGATCAGCTGGAGAACCTACATCAGCTGAATCTGTGAATTTGAGTGGCTGTGCTTCACTGGAACACTCAGCTTCCACCATCCCTTCCTGCATTGCAGGCTGGACACTGAGGGGCATATAGGCTAGGAGGTGATAAGGTGACGGGGATCCACACCTCGACAAGAAGGAATCCAGAGAGTCACAGAGTGCTGACCTAACAGTTTCCGAGTCAGACACGTAAACTCTGAAATCAGGGATGAAGGAGCCACTGCCCCTTTCACAGTTGAGAAGACAATGAGTGTGAGTATGACCCTGGCCAACGAACGGTAAGTTCACCTTGTATGTGCAGATGGAGCTCCCACAGCCTTTGAACTTACGTAGGTGGAAAAGGACATACAAGGACGGTTTACATGACAGCTGATCACAGCAAGGTTCATCATAGCTGAGAACTGAAGACTCGTTTGTTTCGGGAAGTGTAGAGTAGAGTTCTTAAAGCGCTGCTGCCGCAATAGAATTCACGAGGGCCATCCCTCAACTTCCTGAACAATGGTCAGGTCTCTTACACTTTGTCACGGAAGTGCAAGAGCAACAACCACACACAACATTTTGTAGACTTTGTAGACATTGCGTTGCGCTGGCAGGGTGCAGCCGTGCAACACCAAGGCAGCTACGACGGGCCCAAAGTGAACATGGATGAACAACCTTTTGGCAACGCGTCAACGTTGGAGGAGCCCAAGAAGCTGAAAGCCCTGGAGTCCTCTGAAGGTTGGCAATGACTTGGGTGTAAACCGTGTACAGGTACATCAGGTGGCTGATGTCACCGTGGCGTGGGTAGCCGATTGCATCTCTGAGTTCTCCTCTTTCCAATCGTGAGGAACCGATTCATGTTGTAGGAAAGGGGATTGGTGATGCGCCAGCATCATGATAGGACGCTCAACACTTCTGGCTGTAGTTAGGTAGTATTAGTATAATGGTCGGGTTTGTTCCCGTGCAGGCGGGTCCTTTGAGGGCAAAAGCGGCAGGAGGCGCCGTCGCCATGGCCACGGTGCTCCTGGTGGCCCTGCTGTCTATGGTGGCCCTGACGGCCCTGGCCCTGGCCCTGACGCTTGGTTTTGCTGGGCAGAGTTTTCGTCTGTTAATTTCATTTTAAGCTGATGCTGAAAATGAAGACAGGTCCCAAGTGCATTGTCTCAGTGGTTTGTTTGAGGGGAACCGACCAAGAGTTGTTAACATATGAGGCCCATGGAGGAGAGGGGATAGCCGGTGGCAAAGGACATGCTGGAGGTCCAACCAAGGGCAAAGGGAAGGGCAAAGGAAGTGCATTCTTGGAGAAACGTGCCTTGGCGGAAGATACATGTTCAATACGTTCATTTGCCGTGACCCAAAGGCTAAAGAGAATGTGTTTGTTTTGGCAACTGCAAGTGGAACGACTCTCAACATTGAGTCCCTGTTTCACTCAAGTACAAGAAAGATCAAGAAAGTTGCCATTCTGCACGTGCTGGGACGGTGCTGTGCAACACCAAGGCAGCTATGACAGGGCTGAAGTGAACACGACGATGATGGATCAACAACCTTGAAGATCGTAGGACTGGGGGATTCAGCGGGGATTCAGCGGTGCATTACACCGGGCTGTGACGTGCTGTGGTTTTAGGAGTAATGTCATTCTGTGCGTCCCTATCATGATCAAATCAATCAGTATTCGGACTTCCATGTTGAATCTCAATATCAGAAGAAAGACCAGGCCCCAGGATCAATGACACCTTTTTATCTAACTCTGAAGTCTTCAGTGCAGGAATCCCAGAGGGAATTGTACAGAGCATGTCTGGTCGTGCTTGGCGACGAGTTGCACCACTAAAGGTGGCAGCTTACTTGGCTGTGGAGGTGCCAGTTGCGTGTGCATCCTGGGCGCGTATGCCTCCAAAGCTGGACATCCCATCTACCAACAGGGTGGAAAAATGTGTGCTGAGTGAGGGAGTGGTGACTCAGTGACTGTTGTTGATGTGTTGAGCCAGAGCGCAGGCATGTGGGCCTTACGGTATGTCATGGACAAGAATGGGCTGGTTATCAGGCTTCTAACTGCCCCCCCCGCAGGCTGTCACCTGAGGGTCGTGGCACGGAAATTGCGGGGACGCCTCCCTTCATGTCGCCAGAGGCTGGGTTTGAAATGGTTTTAGAAAGTATGTATGACCAAGAGATTAGAAAGTACCTTTTCAGATGCTCTAAAAGTACCAAGTGCGAAGCGAAAAACTCCTCGAGCTGGAGGTTTGGGCGGGCAACTTCAGCCAAAGCTGCGACATTTGGCCACGGCCTCGTGCTTGTCATTTGCCTCGTTGAAGCAATGATCGTTTCATGTGCTTTGGGGTAGGACTCTATTTGTACCACAGTCCGGGGATTCCTCAAGATTCCTAGTAAGTCAAGTGACCAATCTTATCCTTCAAGTGACGCAGTGAGGTCCTGTGGCGTGATGCTTTTCTTCATGCTCTCGGGGACCTATCCGTTCATGGCAAAGCGAATTGAGGACGGCAGAGCCTGGCAGCACTCCATGATTCAACCAATTTTTGGAGATGGAGTTCCACAATTTTTGGAGAGATCATTGAGACACCGCGCTGGCGCATGAGCTAGCTGCCCGCGTTTGGATGTCCACATGTTCTTTGTCACAGGTGCGAAGATGTCCGCCACAAATGCATGTTCAATATTATGTTCAACCATGTTCAAGGGTTCATGCAGATGTTCTTCATGCAGTCAAGCACTTTTTGGAGTTCTGAGTTCTTCTCATCGTCGACCAACTCTGTGAGGAATTCCCTGCTGCTGTGGCGAAGGAGTGCGATAGCTCAGGGTTTCGGCTCAAACATGCATGACCAATTTCTTCAGCCACGGCGGTTGCCGCTCCTTCTCTTCGTTTGTACTTGCGGCAAAATGACGAAGCAAACACGTTCTGTTCATTCAGCAGAGTTATATAGATGTTGAATTGGGATGAATTGGGAGTGCTTCTGAAATCCAGAAGCCGCGCTCACAAAACCTGCAACTTAGGCCCGACTGGTCTCGCATTGGTGGAGCCAGCAGCGAGGCACATCAGGATGTGTTCACCACTTTGCAGAGGTCAGTAGCTAGGGCTGATCCAGATGATCATGACGAAAACCTGGTTGCGCAGACTTCATGGACTGGGCCAGGGGTATTGCACGCTGAACACAGGCGCAGTACATTTGCTTCGATATGCTGCGTTGAGTCCTCAAGCGGATCGGAAGCTGGAGCCGGGGTGATCCACACTGACTGGTTGTCAAAGGTCGGACTTGTTTGTTCAGTTATATATATATACACACTGCCGAATCGATATCTACATCACGTCTGGAAAACATCTGAAAGGCTACGTCAACTTGCAAGTAGGGCCTTTTAAGAACCCTCGCGTTTGATCTAGGGGAGATGTTCCACGATTTTACTATCTTTGGCACAGAGCGGAGCTTCGTCTCCAGCCGTTCTTGTTTCTGAGGCAAAGGTGAGGCAGATCGGTCGCAGCCTCAGCAACAACCTGGTGTGGAAAGGGGTGCATGCAGTTTTGATTTCAGGAAGTCTAGTTTAAGTTTAAGCGGGAAAAGGCGAGAAGCTACAGTGCTGCTGCAGGAAATAGGAGGTTAATGCCGCATGTTTGATTCCTTCAATCTTGAGGGGTACTGATCAAAGTTCTGAGGCCGACTGCGCAAGAGCTGCTCTCCAATGCATGGTGGGGATGGCTCTGGGGGAGTGTGCAATATCATTGAACAGCCTGAATCAACCATATCGCTAATGTGGATCAATGAGGGCGCTGGGAGGTTTGTTTCGGTTTCTTGTTGACACGAGGCAGTTGCATCATGCTTGGACATGCATTCCGTAAGCCAGAACTTTTTGAACCATACATGATAGGGCAAGGGCCTTGGACGCTAGTAGGTTGGAGGCCATCGCTAGTAGGCCATCGCTCTTAGGCCGTAAGCCAAGCTTATATAAAGTGAATTATATGGGTCAGTGCATTTGCTGAAACGTTGATCAGAGCCTGTCACTGCGAGGTTCCGCCGCTTTGGCCTAGGCGCGGAACTCGGAGCAAGCAATGCAAATGAGCACATGCAAAAAGACATGCACGGGCAGGTCAGATCAGAACTCCCAAGCCGCTTTGAGGAACCACTCTATTTTGAGTTATTTTGCTTTGGCCACTTTGACTGTTTCAGTTCATCCGGTTTGTGATCTGGCGAGCATCTACTGGTTTTGGCCGTGAGTTCACAAGCAAATTCAGCTCGCAACTGGCTCGCACGCCAAGGCCTCTTAGAGTCTTAGAAAAAACTGCCTTCTCCGGATTGTCACTTCAGCCGTCTGAGAAGGGCCCAAATCGGCCAAAACACGTTCTTGCTTTCCAGGTGCGAGCAGCTCGGACCTCCAGAAGCTGGGCCGAGGCTTGTTGCAGGCTCGGTAGGAAAGTTGCAGAGACCGCAAAAGCTATAAAACGTTTGGCCTATCAGTATCAGGTTGTGAGGTGTCAACAGCAAGAACAGCATTATGAACATGCCCTTTGTGCTTTGGTCTAGAATGCCTTGTTGTAGAAATCATGCCACCTAATTCAACAACTCGTAGCATATGCAAACAGCTGGCCATTTCAATGTTCTGAATGGGGGCAACAAGCTGCATCAGAGTCATGCATGCTGAACAGTTCTGCTGCTGGGAATTCCGTTTGATTGTATTCTTTGTGTTTCTGACAGCGTATCAAGAATGATCAGAAACACTCATCATTTCATTTCAGAGTGGCCAGACTTTTGAGGGGGCCTCTGGTGCCGTGGTATGTTGCAGAAGTCACCCCGAGGCGATTTGCACTTAGGGGAGGTCGATCACATTTGATCACCGGGCAAATGACGGGGGATTGATCCAATTACTCCATTCCAGCTGAACCAGACTCTTCAGGTGAAAGAACGCAGCTCCTTTGAGCGCTTCGTGGCGAGGGGGAATTTGTTGGGAGCCATCGGGTCCTGGGGATGGAGGTAGGAGAGAGACATTTGAGCAGCAGGGTCTTCAACCTAATAGCGATGGTCACCCTAGTAGTGATGGCCTCCAACCTAGCATACTTTGACCTTGCCTTTGCCGTTGAAGAACGTTGTCAGACGCCAGAATTTCCCGCAGCGGAACAGTGCTGAAACAGAGTATATAACATATATAAATATATTATATATGTATATATTATGGTACCCCCCCAAGATTATCTACCGGTTGCATGTGTGTTTGATACCTTGGTGTCAGATGTGCGGGGGTTACCATGTATATATATGCATAGATTGGAGACAACAATTCTTGTACAAAACAAACTGTGTGTAACAATACACCAACAAGTTTTTTCTTTTTTACATACGACCTGGATTCAAGATTCAAGATGAATCGAATTTGTTTTCCAGCCATCTTGAATCTTGAATATGTTTTTTTCTTTAAGAATTGTTTGTTTTTTTTAAGAAAAACTTAGGCACCGGATACGGGTTTGTCTATCGGAAGGGGGGCACCATGCGGGGTGGAGTGGTGACAATCGTATAAATGCGCAGTTTGCTGTAAAATCTACGCAGTTTGTTTGCAAATCACTGTCTAACCAGGTCTGAATGCACCAGAACCAATGCCACCAAGAATAGAGACAACAAACAAAACAAAACGCCTTCAAAGAACAAACAAAAACAATATTCTGAGACTCTTGGCGCCCCCCCCTTCCCCAAAACTCCAGGAAATTTTGCTTTCTTTTTGAAGGTTTTTCCATGTTTTCCATGACTCTGGGCCCCCCTTCCTCAAGACTCCTGGAAAGTTGTTTTCGCTGTTTGGACTTTTTTGGTGTCAGGCTGGGCACGCAGAGACCTGCACTCCATGCAAAGCTCTAGCCCAACTTTGGGAAGTCTGCATTTTAAGTCTATTTATTCCTATTGATATCCTTTTACATTCCGTTTGATTCTTGTTGATTACCTTTCTTTGTGATTTCAAATTGACTCTGACTTCCTGCTGCATTTCCTTTTAAATTCTTTTGATTCTTGGGCTTGGAATCACTACCTTTTAAATTCTACTTCATGTGAGCTCCTTTTGATTCCCATTGATTTCCTTTTGAACTCCTTTTGATTCCTTTTCATTTCCTTTCAAATATATTTTGCTTCCTATTGATTTCGCTTGAATTTCTTTGTTGCATAGCAAAAATCTATTTCACCAAGGAGATAACCCAGTGCACTAGAAATTTTGAATAATATATTTAACCCCCTGCTAAATTGCAGTCGTTTTTGGCCTTAATAACAGAACCGCCTGGAATAATGCCCGTGCTTTTCCATTTCTAAATAACGTGACGACCTCAACTATTGTGTGCACTTTTGCTCTAATATGATTTGAACAAAAAAAAACATCACCTGCAATACTGTCAACGTCTTTCATTGTTCATTATTACTATTCTTTCATTTTCATGTTCTGTTTCATTTGCTCACTTGGATCTATAGATCTTGGTTCACAACCATTTGCATATCTCAAAAGAACCAACAAGGTAGATCTTGGAGGGGGAGTAGCACACACACATATCTATATATACACTGTATACATATAATATAAC